CTTTTATATATGGCAAAAAAAATTAGTTTTTGTTTTAGTTTACACTAATCACTAGCCATGTTAGCGTTGTCACAATTCTGTGTGTTAGTAAACTATCTTAGGGATTATAAAATTAATCATTTATTTCTTAATCTCACCTGATAACAGTGATAAGAACCAGCTGGAAAAAAATGGGACTAAAAAATTTGTGGGTTTCAGCAGTTCATCAGCTTTAATTGGCTTCTTGTATCATGCTTTTTTGGTATGCAGATATCAAATGCAGCTTTGATTTGTACTTTATTAGCATTGTTTAATCTCGAAAAGTTGTTAATACTTACCATCTTATTAGTTAATTGGAGTTTGCGTAGGGAATCATGTCAAAGAGGTTGAAAACAGATCACTACAGCTTAATTTCATAATTTTTTTTCTTTTAATGGTTGGAAGTACAATTTGCCTTCTTGTGCTTCTTAACTCTCGAAGAATGAGTTTCTTTAAACTAATTAAAAACTTGTAATGTATGTCACATGCTTTGGTTTCTTTTCGTGCTAATATGCTTTAGGAATAAACCAAATCATCTTTGGTCCATTGATGTTTGTCATCAATTGAATTTCCCTTTTTTTGTTCCGTTTCTTGTTGCATTGTGAAAAATGACTCGTTTAATGATTTGCGCATTTATGCAGCCATCTTATGCTGTTTATCACCATTCCGGTCATGGTCAATTTTTTGGCATGGTCTTTTGTCATCCTCGTGTTATCTTGTAAACATTTGGTGTTTCGATGATGCATTGGTTTTAATGATATCCATAAGTAATGCATGTTGCACCCTTATCGATCTTGGAAGGAGATTAGGTCACCATTGTTTGCTTAACAAATTACTCGTGATGCCACATTAGTTGTTTTCACTAGTTCTAGAGTCATGATCATTTGAGGGAGCCTTGTGCATTGTCTTGCACATAGTAAGATTCTTAAGGGTAAATATAAAATAGTACCTTGACACAATGACACCCAAAAACAAGAGAGAGCTTGAATTAGAAACTTTTTAGGCTTGTAAATAGAAATTGTTGAAGATGGAAGGCAAGGGCGGGGGTACATAGAGTGGTCGGGTTTTCACATGGAATGGACTCCCGTGGATTCCGCTGGTGGATCCCTCCGTAACCCAATAGCAACTTCCTCTCTTTAAAGCTTTTGTTTTTC